TTTCATAAACACAGCCATGTTGACCCTCGGTTACATAATTCTGTCATGCTTATGAACGATCAATGTGACCTCATAGAGATATCAGAGTCACGTTATCAGCTATGTTGTAGCAGCTGAACGTTTGACCCACGGTATGAAATTATCTTTCTAGTTACAGAAACAGAGATAACTAGGCTGATTTTTGGTGAGTATCCACAACAAAGTCTTACATAACACAAAAGGCAGCTTTGCCTTTCCATCCCTCTTGTCATTTTCTCCTCTCTCCAGATGTGTGCAGCATGTGCGTGTGTCTAGACAGGAACCCTCTGTCCCAGAACCACCTATCTAATCTCTTGCTATCCTACTACAGGCTGCAGACGGGTTGTGGCACCTCCGAGAGGCCTGGGTGCAGACCCTGCGGTCTCGGTCTGTTCAGGCTGGTGGCTGCAGAGAAGACAGGTGTTCCTCACAGCTGCACCTGGCAAAACGGGGACCTGAACTGAAGAGGAGGGAAGAGTCAGGGCAGGAACGACCAGAAGCGCCTGGGATGGGGAGGTGGAGATGTAGTTCATGCCCTTACTTAAACAACTCGTGTGCATTTGAAAGAGTTTTAGTTCCTCCTAATGGTGACGAGAAGTCCTTTCATAGGAGCACGAGTTTCTCGTTCACATATCAAAAGCTGAACGGAGTTGAGCTCTGGGCTCATTTCCACCTTGTGCAACGCCTTAAAACCAGTATGTTTAATGAGACACGTCAGCATCATGTCGTAAAACACATGCCCTTAGGCCAGGGGTCAGCAAAGTTTGGGGGCAGAGTGCCCAAAACACCCACAAGCTTAAGACGTTGGCGTGCCCAGGGTGGCTGCGAGGGGCCTGACCCTTGTTGTAGCAGCAGAGCCCCAGGCCCTTCCCTGCCTCCGCCCTGAGGGGCACGCACCAGACAAAATGCCTTTGCATGCCACACTCTGGCATGTGTGCCGGGGGTGGCCTCCCCCTGCCTTAGGCCCAGGGGACTCTCTTTAAGGGTACTGGATTTGAATCCCCTAGATTTATTTCCCTGAGCTTTCCTGGGGGCTGGGATGGGGCAGCAGGAACTGCAGGAAGCAGCAAGTGGCTGTTCCAGGCC